CCACCCTGCCACCCCCCCCCGCAGAGTCGTGCCACCAATAATGAGGTTGAGTACTTCGACGCTCTCCAAAGAGCGTGTGGTAGGGGGCCCCACCCCATAACGTGTTTTTCCACTGCCCTCCACTCCCATAACAAGTAGCCTGGGGGGCCTCGCGGTTCGCCTGCCGCTGTGCTTACTGAATTAGCGCTAGTTTTTGCATTAAGCAAAGCGGCGAGTTTGCCTGTGCGCTACGACTACTGCGCCGCCACACAGCCGTTCTCCTCCGTCGTTCAACCGCATCTCTGTTGTCAATTCATCGACCACATGGCAGGTGAGCGTGACAACGAAGAGGTTCACTATCGATTTTTCGTGACTTGTCTGCCCTGTTGGAGAGGTGCGTGAACGATGCTTTGAGTCCCACATGGCCCTGTCCTCGAGTGGACAGGAGATTTACGCATTCGCGTGAGGGCTTTCTCCTACAGCTCCTGTAACGAACCTGTCAAGCCATGATATCAATACGCCCGCATATACCCATAGGACTGTTATACCCGAGGAGCCACTTGTCCCTTGGAGCGTCGAGTTCAAGGTTTGGGCTCCTTTCTCACCGCCTTGTGGCATGTGTTCACTCATGGGAGGGAACCATGAGAGAATAGAGCGGCAGCAATGAAGACGGCGATGGTGGCGGTGGTGGTGCCCCAGTCGAGTGAAGTGCGGCATCGAGGCAACAAAGCTGTTTTTATATGTGGCGCTCGCCATGCCAGGCTCTACAGCTGTGTGAGAGGTATGGTGACAGCGCTGCGGCCTACGAATTCCCCCCTGAGACGGCCATGCGCGGCCGCGGCCGCGTGACTTTGCGGACATGTGGCGGCCAGGGGAGTGGGGGTTTTGGAGGCTGATTGGGGTTGCACAACCCCAACCCCAACCCCTCACAAAACATAAAAATAAATAAAAAATAAAAATAAAAATTGGGAGGGGGTGGGTTGGGGGTAAAAATGAATGAAAAAAATATACATAAATAAAGTCTTGATTCATTGATTGATTGATTCATTCATTCATTGGGATTTGTTTTGTTGTTAGATTGGTTGATTAATTGATTGGGATTGATTGATTGATTGACTTCGTGATTGATTGATTGATTGGTGGGGGAGGGGTGGCACACCCCCCCCCTCACACACACACACACACACACACACACACACACACACACACACACAACACACACACACACACACACTCGCACACTTTTTTTGGGAAAAGTTATAGAAGCTCCCCGCGGCAAAACCTTTGTATCGATTTCTCCCCAAAATGGACTTGCTGCATCTCAGGTCCCCCAATAACTTTTCTGTTATTCTTCCTCCCCGGTCTGAGGCCGGTAGGGCCTCAGTCCAGGGCTGAGGCCGCGGGAGCTTGATAACCAAGGCTCACTACGGATTTCCAGCCGCCAGCCACCCCAGTTGCACGTGGACGGTATTTGGGTTCGGTACATTCGAGAGGGCATAGCATAGCATATTCCGGTCCGCACTTCCTTCACCTCACCTGCACCCGATTCAAGAAAGATACATCCAAGAAAGTGCAAGTGTGCTGCAGGTCCGAAAATGACTTCCCGCCATTTTTGCATAGCGGGCATTACCGGCCCAGTAGGCAGCCGGAGGTGCTCGGGCCTTCACCTCACCTGGGCCCGATTCGAAGAAAGTGCAAGTGTGCCCCAGGTCCGAAAATGACTTCCCGCCATTTTTGCATTGCGGGCGTTACCGGCCCAGTACGGCCCATTTTTGCATTGCGAGCTCACCTGGGCCGATTCGAGAAAGATACATCCAAGAAAGTGGAAGTGTGCCGCAGGCCGAAAGGAAACTTCAAAAAGAGCCAACCTTATCAGCTTCCGCGGCCTCAGGCCCGGGCTGAGGCCCTACCGGGGAGCAACAATTACAGAAAAGGTAATTGGGGGACCTCAAATGCAGAGTGTCCATTTTTGGGGAGATATGGATAAAAAGGTTTCGGGGCAGGGAGCTTCTATAACTTTTCCCTTTTTTTTCTTCTTCTATTGATTGATTGATTGATTGATTGATTGGTGGGAGGGGGGTCGCCCCCCCTCCCTCACCCCCCGCAACGGCACACACACACACACACGCACACACACACACTCATGCACTCTTCCTTTTTTTGGTTTTTTATTTTGGATTGATTGATTGGTGGGAGGGGGGTCCCCCCCCCCAACCACCACACATGCGCACGCCAACACGCACACAACCCAAAAAAAGAAGAAAGAAAACAAACGTTTTTTTTACTTGTTTTTTTCACAGTTTCCGATTCCTTTTCTTTTATTCCAAAAAATATATGCAAGGAAAATGAGCGATCGCGAACTTCAGAAATGAAGCAGCATCATACACATGAGTCCAGGTAGTCGTGACCTCGAACCAAGAACAGAATTGCAACACGAGTTTCACCAAATAAGAGCACAGCAAAACCAGACTACATAAGTGACAATGTTTGAATAGTCTCATCATCATCAACACGCACGTGACTAGGCTACGCACGTGATGTCTAGGCTACGCACGTGACTGGGCGTCTTTTTTTTTTTTTTTTTTTTTTGCGAGTTATTTTTCAACCCTGCCCCTTCACGGGTCCTTTTCCCAAAAAAAAGACGAAAAGGGAGCCTCAGGGCACGCTCACACTAGGTACCCAAATTCCCAAAAAAATGGGAAAATGGGAGCGGCCGTTTTGAGGAAATGTGGCCCTGGCCGGTCACACTGTGTTCCCAACACGCTAAAGACAAGGTCGCGACATCGCTCTCTGCGAGGTGCTTGTGGAGGGCGCCGGTCACAGGGTGGTACCTCAAATGGGAAATGCAATTGTTCAGTTTTTACAATCTGTTTTTTCCTTCTTTTTTTTTTGGGTCGTTACTGCTGGCAACGGGTGTCCATACGAACCTCCCTGCTCGTGCTCCGCGCGTCTGACCGCTCCGTGCGTGCACCCATTTCCCAAAATTTCCTTTTCTTCAATTGATAGGCCGCTAATATCGTGGGGTTCCATTTTTTCTCCAATTTTGCACGGTAATTCAAAAAATGATTCGAGAATTTGCGGTAACCTCCGGAGGTCACCGCAAATTTCCTTCCCCCGCGGCTTCGCAGGCCGCTGACAAATGGTCACCCCTTTTGAGAATTTGGGCAGATGTTCACCATGTGTGACTGTCCGGGAACCCTTTTTTTGGGGGAAAATGGGGATTTGGTACCTAGTGTGAGCGTGCCCTCAGGACAGTCCTGGTACGTGCTCTCACCCCAGCCCTTGGGAAAACGCCTCCCATTTTTGCCAATTGTTGAACTGGCAGCCAATAGGAAGCATGAGTTCTTGTTTTTTTCTGCAATTTGTAACTGCTCTTCGAGCCAATAGGAAGCATGAGTTCTTGTTTTTTTCTGCAATTTGTAACTGCTCTTCGCGCGGACGCGGAGAGTGCAGTTATTTCTCCCGATTCGAAAATCTAAATCGGTCACAGGTGCAGTTTGCTTGTCATTATTCTGTAGAGCAAGGAGCACACTAACAGAGAACCCAGGTTACCAAGCAATGGCTGTGAAACTGACAAATTGGGCCTCGCCACACCACTCTTGAAATGTGAAAAGGACAAAAATATGGCGGGTGCATCTGGCCATGTTCTAGGAGGAAGTTCATTCTCATTTTGCACATTTCAAAAGAGTGGTGTGGCAATCTCCAATGACGGCAAAACGAGCCTCTGAGAATATGGGCCTCGCTCCACTAAGGTCCGCGATGGAAAATTTTGTGCAGTTGGTGAACAGCTCTCAGGGCATACTCACACGAGGACCAAAAGACCCAAAATCCGAAAATTCCGTGGTTACGCAACGATGATGCAAATGACCTCGTCAGAATGTCCGTTGGGTGGCACCAATGAGTCAATGACCACGTCTCATGGCCTGTGCCTGAACAGAAACGTTTTGGGACATACTCTCCCCGACCCCTTCTCCAAAAACTCTCTCTCTCTCTCTCTCTCTCTCTCTCTCTCTCTCTCTCTCTCTCTCTCTCTCTCTCGCTCGCTCGCTCGCTCGCTCTCTCTCACGATGATTCCATGTATAAATTGCAAGCAACGCTGGTGGATAAACCATCAAGGCCGGCCGTTGAGGTGCACCAGTGCTGCAGTAGTCTATTATCATATTATGTCTATACAGTCTGTCGTTCGGGGTCGATTGCCGACTTGCCAACGTTCCATTCATACGGGGTCTCCCGGTCTCCGAAGTGGTGCTCCTGGCCAACAGAGCCATAGCTTCTGGCTTTCCGGTCTGCCAAAGGAGCTGTCACCGCTGTGAGGTACGGGCTCGCTCGTTCATTTATCGGGCTGCTGTTTGACGTCTGGTTGCTCGTCTTTTTCTTCGCACCCTTTGCACCTTTTCGACGTAGCATGCGCAYAGCCATCCTGTCTCGTACACTACCGTCTTCCCCCCGAACACAACGCACCCTTTTGATGGCTGTACCGGACCGGAGAGATCGCTTCCATGCTTTCCTTATCAAGGTGCGTTATGTTCGCGGAAAGACGGTCGTATGTCTCTCTAACACCCAACGTTTGCATTTCCCATTCCGACCTTGATGTCTGCATGCCGTTGTGTGTATCCCCCTCCGATTTGCAAAACGGATTCCGTTTTGCAAAACGGAGGAGGAAATGAGGGCGTTGCCGCCAGCAGACACCGGTTAAGGCAGTCGCTCCGAATCGCCAGCATAAGAGTAGAGGCCGTAGAGGGGGACGCTTCTGGTTCCATCATTGAGAGACTTTCACACACTGTTGTACTCTTTCGGTACTGCCGACTTTAGGGAAGGCATGTGTAGCATTGTGTACTGTTTGTTTTGCCACCCTCCTAGTCTATTTGGGCTATTCACGACTGTGTGTAGAGAACGGGCGAGGGATGTTCTGCACGACTGATGTTTGGATCATCTGGGATTCTGGGTGTAGGTGGAGGGTCCTGTACCTCTGGTTGGAAGTGTTGCTTTGCTTTTGCGAGGGTTGATTTCTGTCGGATCGTCTCCGAAAAGGAATCGTGTTTGCTGCTTGGTATCTTGACATGCGTGCTTGGTGTACTGGGTGTATGCGATTGGGCGGCGGATAAACTATTGCTTGCTTTTCAGATCGGTTAGGACTCAGGAGGGAGTACATTTGAAATTGGTTGCACATGAAGAAGCCTAGAGCATAAATGGTGTACTTGTCTATTCGCTGCGAGTGGTCGTATACAATACGTAATTATTACTTGTGGGTAGGATGCATATATATTTCTCCAGAGTATGGTTATGGGTCCTCTATCATCACGTGTATACAATTTTTCTTCTTCTTTTTCTTGGGTTGAGAGAGAGAGAGAGAGAGAGAGAGAGAGAGAGAGAGAGAGAGAGAGAGAGGGAGAGAGAGTGCAGCACAAGGCAGCGTGCGGCGCTGCCAGAAATGGTATATTCAGTTCCTTCGCTGTCTATCTCTCAGATTCTCTCTGCCTGTCTCTGTCTCTGTCTCTCGGTCTCGGTCTCTCTCTCTCTCTCTCTCTCTCTCTCTCTCTCTCTCTCTCTCTCTCTCTCTCTCTCTCTCTCTCGCTCGCTCGCTCGCTCGGTCGCTCTCTCGGTGTCTCGCCCTCTCTCTCTCTCTCTCTCTCGCTCTCTCGCTCGGTATCCCGCTATCTCCGAAAACCGCGTTCTCTGTCCATCGCACCATGCTCGGAGCTCGCGCCCTGACCTCTCTGATGTACGCGCGCCATCCTACTATCCCCGTCTCTTAGAAACGTCCTTCCTGCCCGCGCCCTCCAAACGTTGGCATTATGATACGAAAGTGAGAGGTAAGGATATGAGCTGCGCAAGTAGACGAGGAGTGGGCTAGTACGTAGTTCTATAAAACCAAGGTTTTTCATTTTTCGTAGAGTATCACAAGCTCCCCTGTTGATGACCATGGGGCGACATGGACGAGACATTTAGGAAGATCTCGGGTCGTAATACTTCGTGACGATCAGGTTTTTGTTTTCGGAGTATTACAATCTTCTTTGTTTTTTTTTTTGTCGCTACCTCTACGTGTGTCTTATTTCCTTCGTCTCCTTACCGCATGTCTGGTGGTGATTTTTAATCTTCCTCTGCTCACAAGTTGGGAGTTCGGTGGAATTTTCGTGCTCACAGTTCGGACGAACGTTTCTTACTCTCCATCATGAGTAACTGATCTGCATCATCAGCCACTTGCATGTCAGATTCATCCCATACAACCAGCCTTTGTTTTTATTATTATTTATTTATTTATTTATTTTTAAGCCTGACGGCCTTGAGATATCACTATTGAGCTGACCGGCCCCAGGGAATTCAGAAATATGTCGTTTTACTCGTCATGTTCCGTCATCTTGATTCGAACTCGGGTCCGTATTTCAACTGTTCATGCATTGGGTTTATGCACTGAGCTAGTACAAGCTTTTGCTCATCATGCATATATGCATTCTAGCGCAAAAAAACGATCACACCTGATCCTAACACTTATTGGCCCTGACAGTCCACTGTACTGAGTACTACGCTCTCTACACTGCATCTCCCTGACCGTCTACTGTATTGAGTACTACGCTGTCTACACTGCATCTCTCTCTCTCTCTCTCTCTCTCTCTCCCCCCCTTCCATTTCCATCACTCTCTTTCTCCACATTCTAGTCTTCTCCTTATCATTTCACGTGCTGATTCGTATCTGCTTTCGAATGATGTGCTGCGATGAATGCATGGGTGCGGCAGGCGATTAATTCGTGCGGGTGTCAGTGAGTTTTTTTTTTTTGGGTTTTAATCCAGCTCCTACACGATATTTCAAATCATGGACGGAGGCCGTCTTCGCTTGTCTACCACAGCGTTCGAATGAGCGAGAAGTGCTGAACCAAAAAAAAATGAAAAAAGAAAAAAGAAAAAAGAAAAAAGAAAAAAAAAGTGCTCAGCGACTTCGTGCTCAGAAGAAGGAAAAAGGAAAAGGGGAAACTACGTGGGAGTCACAAAAATGAGTTATAATTGCAATATGGCCCAAGATGCAGTTTCGAATTGCAATTCGGGCAATGTATACAACTCAGCTTTCTGGGCAGGTAGGGTGCCCGAACTGCAATTGCAAACTGTGTCTTGCCCCATCGTGCATTTATAAGTCGTTTTTGTGCAGTTGATGATACAGTCTGTTGTTCGAGGTAGAAAGTCAAGGCTGCGTTGGTAGGGGCGTCTCCAAAGTGGCGCTCTTGGGGAGCAGAGCCATAGCTGAGCTTTCCGGTCTCCCACAGGAGCTGTGAGCACTGAGCAGTGTGAGGTAAAGGCTTCTCCGCTTATGAGACTGATGTTCCATGTGTCCACTCTGGGCTTTTTGTTGGTACCCGTAGAACTCTTCCATAGTAGCATGCGCACAAGCCGCCTATCGCGTACGCTACGTTTTTTCCATTCCACGTCTGCACCTCCCATTCTGCGAGTCATGTCTGATTAAGGGAGTACTCACACCAGGATTTTATCTACTGAGCTCTAGAAATGACAGCTGTCAGATTCATCCAGGTCTGGCCGTAATTGCAGTCGGGTACGTTAGGAAAATACTAGAGTGAGTATGCCCTAAGACGGGGTGTGTCCGTGCCAAACGGAGGGGGGTAGTGAGCCTCAGTGAGGTCATTGACGGCAACAGAAACCCGTTCAGCATTCGCAGGATAAGAGTAGGGGGATGCTTCTGCTTCCCATCATTGGTAGATTTTTCTTTCTTTTTTTTGTTTAACAATCATTGATAAATTTTCAGTATGTTCTTCGGGCACTGACTTTTCTTTTTTTCTTTTTTGGGTAAGGCATGACATTGGGGCTCGCTGCACTACTCTAGACTTGTGAAAAATTTCAAGAGTCTTTCTAGAGCTCTCAGAGTCACGGCGAAAAGTCCTAAAATCTACGCATCACCGCACTAGCTCTAGACTCTAGAAAAGCTAGAGTAGCTCTAGACTCTAGAAAATCTAGAGTTGCTCCGTCACTTTCTGAGTTCGGCCATTTCACTACAGGACAGTGCCAGCCTGGGTTGTCCACGCAGACTCAAGGCCCACTCTAGGAAAACCAAGTCGTTTCAAGGATCCTCCGGACCTCCCTATAAAAAAAACCATTTGCAGGCTGGGACTCTAGATAAATCTAGAGTGAGAAGGACCGACCCGCTCTGACAGCTCAAGAAATGAAAATTCTAGAGCAAACTTATCTAGTAAGTTGAGCCATGACGACTCTATTACTTTTCTAGAGTCGTTTTGATAGCTCTAGAACAGGTTTTCGAGCGCCCCCATTTCTTAAGTGAGTGCAGCCATGCAGCACTCAAGAAAAAGCTCGAATCTAGAGTAGTGCAGCAAGCCCAATTGTCTATTGTTTTGTCTAGTGTTTTTCTTCTACTCCCCAAGGCTCCAAGCCTTTTCGGGCAACTTAAGAGTGTAGACTGTCCGGTGGATGCTCTGCGTGATTGGTGCTGGAGTCGTCTGGGTGTGGAAGGAAAGTGTTGCTTTGCTTTTGCGAAGGTTGATTGGTATTTTAAGCACGAGTCAGGTAGTCTGTTTAAATGAAGGTCTGCTTCATCTTATCTTGGATAGGCATCTTTGGTAGATCCTGTGTACGCGATTCGTACTTTTAAAGTTTTAAGATCTGTTAGGAGGAAGTACGCGTGAGTTTGGTTGCGTATGAAGAAGAGTAGCGCATGAATGGTACATGTATCTGTCGGCAATGTGTTCATTCACAATACAGAATTATTACGCATGGGTGGGATGTATTATACATAATTCTCAAGCGTATAGTTATTTCTCATGAGTCATGTGTAGTCATGTATGCTCAATAATGGCTGTTGGCTGTAATCGATGTTGATGTCTATCACCAGGGACAGGGAGCACTCTCCTCCGATCATCCCGTGCAGAGACCAGGAGGCTGAAGCCACTGAGCGTAACGTGGGCAAACGGAGGCTGAGTGCAGAGAGACACAGAGGAACAGAGCAGAAACAAAGCGGAGGCAAACGGAGGCAAAGAGAGGAGAGACAGAGCGGATGCTAACGGTGGGTGACGGAGGAGAAACGGAGAGACCGATACGAAGCTAAAGGAGGCTAACGAAGCTACTGCGTGCATCTAACGGAGGCTAACGGAGGGTAAACAAGCACGCACGTCAATTCTGCACCAAGCTGACAAGCTCCAACCGGCATTCATTTCACGGGATCCCCCACCGTTACTTCCATGATGATGTACCGGCGACATGCCCTTTGCGATCGGAAGGCTATCATTCTCATGGCAGGCATGATCATCGTGGCTGCTGCGTCGCAAGCGACTGCTCGCCCAGGGGCTAGTAAGACATACGATGGCCACATGGCAATCGCCAATCATGGCAAAGAGCTGCAGGAAGAGTGCCAGGGTGGCTGTCCCGTTGGTTGCTCGTGCATGATTCATATGTGCTGGCGATGGAACCAGCATTTCCGATGCCCCGTGCGTTGCTACTAGTAATCCTACGCCCTCTTTTGCAAGTCTTGCCCACCCTTCTGCTGTTAGACGGCATTGCCCATAATGTACCGATACTGATATCGTTGCCCATATGAATGCATTCCACGGAATCTTAACCACGACATGCCATGATGAATAGGTACTCATCCGAGACTCTCCTAGAACGTTTGCGCTGAGGACAATATACTATTATACATGTAAGATTCGGTACTAGGTCAAATGTAAGGGAAGGGGCTAGTACGTTGGACTCGGTTGGAGTCACACACCCAACGTTCAGAATAGGCAAATGGGGTTGAAGAGGGATACAGCCGGGGCCCGGGTGCTGGCGGATGTCCACCAGTCTGGACCCGAAGGAGGGCGACGTGACGTTTGCTTGGGAGGGCAAACGGTAGCTGAAAATGCCAGGACGCTGGTAGCTTTTCGATTCAGGCTCGGCATCTCCATAGCTGAGAAAGGTACTGGTGGTTTAAGAAGTTAGGAGCAAAAAAAGGGTACTCTTCCCAAAACAGGGCAGCAGTAGTCCCTACTCGGGAGCTGAGTAAGAGCAGGATTGATATCAGGAGCATAACCACTCCTAACAGGTGTTGAGCTTTAATGTCATATTTATTTTACAAAAAGCTTTGATGTTGTTGAAATTGTTTTGAGCGGACTGGTGTCTTCTCCCTTCGGTGCGATGGATGCCGAGAGTCAGCATGTCTTTTTTTTTCTTTTTTTTTTGGGACAAAGGCTCCAATCTATTCGTGGGGAGCAGCACGTGCTGGGAACCCGGCCCAGCGTCCCATCTTTAAGATTCAACATGTCCCATCTTTCTTCTTCTTCTTCCTCTTTCTTTTAGATTTTTTTGTTTTTTCTATTCCTTTTCCTTCTTTTTTTTTCTTCCAAGGCCAACGGCTCCTAGGTCACCCCCAGCGTTTCTAATAGGCAACTTTAGCAGTTCTCTAAAGGGGGCAACAAAAGCCACCCCTAAATCTGCATTTGCGCCACTTAAAGAAAAGGGCCCCAGTTTCAACCCCTTCCCCCCCCCCCCCCCCCCCCCCCCCCCAAAAGCTAAACTTGCACATTTTGAGACTCGAACAATGACATCGGCGCCACTTTGTATTTTCTTGCCTATTTCAAACTGAAAAGGTGACTCAGGAGCAGTTTGAATTCCCCTTTAAAAAAACAAAAAAACTAGACCATATCCTTCTCTCAAATCTTTAATCATCTTTCATACTCTTACAACTTCTTCCAAATTATTTCAATTCATCTTCACTACCTAGTACCTACCTACCTACCACTACTCCTAAGGCTTACTTATACAGGGGACCCGTGCTAACATAGCTTTGTTGTCTTCCCCCATCCATCAGAGGGGATGCATGTTGTCCCCTGCTGAACTGGGACTCTGGACTTGAAAGGGGGATAAAAACACTATTATTATTATTGACACCCCACATAATAGATGCAGCACGTGTGAGGAGTTGGAGGAAGAAAACACAAAAAAAGAACGGCTTGTTCATTTCATTCACTTGCTCATGCCAGAAACTGACACGTGGAGTCTGTTTGTGGGTGGTCTGTTTGAGGGATGGATCGAATAGCTAAGTGGTGTGCGGGTGGTCGTCACGGGCAGCGTGACTCAGGGCCATCATTCACAACACTTTTCTGGTGCCTTGTTGCCTTGCTGATTGCCTTGATGACCCCTTGCCCGAGCACGCCATAATCATTTCCTCAATTTGCGTGCTAGCCTGCTCGTATACCCTTATGGCTGCCTGTCCCCTTTTGTTTGTGTTTTTTCCCCCAAGAAGTCTGGCCGGGTCAGCTTTTGAGTTAAAAAAGGCAAAAAAAAACACAAAACAGCAGTTTCAACACGGGCAAAGTTTCGCAAGGCAAAAAGCCACAAAATAGCCGTCTGGTCTTGCCCCCAGTTTAGATTCAGCACTTTTGTCATTTCTCACACTGTCCTGAGCAGTCCCGTCCATCCTCCCAGGCCCTCTACCGGGCTGAATTTGAATCAAGGCAGGAAGTGAGGATGAAGCACCTCTCTCTCTCTCTCTCTCTCTCTCTCTCTCTCTCTCTCTCTCTCCTGTCTCTTATACACATCTAGATGTGTATAAGAGACAGCCACTGTACTGAGTACTACGCTCTCTACACTGCATCTCCCTGACCGTCTACTGTATTGAGTACTACGCTGTCTACACTGCATCTCTCTCTCTCTCTCTCTCTCTCTCTCCCCCCCTTCCATTTCCATCACTCTCTTTCTCCACATTCTAGTCTTCTCCTTATCATTTCACGTGCTGATTCGTATCTGCTTTCGAATGATGTGCTGCGATGAATGCATGGGTGCGGCAGGCGATTAATTCGTGCGGGTGTCAGTGAGTTTTTTTTTTTTGGGTTTTAATCCAGCTCCTACACGATATTTCAAATCATGGACGGAGGCCGTCTTCGCTTGTCTACCACAGCGTTCGAATGAGCGAGAAGTGCTGAACCAAAAAAAAATGAAAAAAGAAAAAAGAAAAAAGAAAAAAGAAAAAAAAAGTGCTCAGCGACTTCGTGCTCAGAAGAAGGAAAAAGGAAAAGGGGAAACTACGTGGGAGTCACAAAAATGAGTTATAATTGCAATATGGCCCAAGATGCAGTTTCGAATTGCAATTCGGGCAATGTATACAACTCAGCTTTCTGGGCAGGTAGGGTGCCCGAACTGCAATTGCAAACTGTGTCTTGCCCCATCGTGCATTTATAAGTCGTTTTTGTGCAGTTGATGATACAGTCTGTTGTTCGAGGTAGAAAGTCAAGGCTGCGTTGGTAGGGGCGTCTCCAAAGTGGCGCTCTTGGGGAGCAGAGCCATAGCTGAGCTTTCCGGTCTCCCACAGGAGCTGTGAGCACTGAGCAGTGTGAGGTAAAGGCTTCTCCGCTTATGAGACTGATGTTCCATGTGTCCACTCTGGGCTTTTTGTTGGTACCCGTAGAACTCTTCCATAGTAGCATGCGCACAAGCCGCCTATCGCGTACGCTACGTTTTTTCCATTCCACGTCTGCACCTCCCATTCTGCGAGTCATGTCTGATTAAGGGAGTACTCACACCAGGATTTTATCTACTGAGCTCTAGAAATGACAGCTGTCAGATTCATCCAGGTCTGGCCGTAATTGCAGTCGGGTACGTTAGGAAAATACTAGAGTGAGTATGCCCTAAGACGGGGTGTGTCCGTGCCAAACGGAGGGGGGTAGTGAGCCTCAGTGAGGTCATTGACGGCAACAGAAACCCGTTCAGCATTCGCAGGATAAGAGTAGGGGGATGCTTCTGCTTCCCATCATTGGTAGATTTTTCTTTCTTTTTTTTGTTTAACAATCATTGATAAATTTTCAGTATGTTCTTCGGGCACTGACTTTTCTTTTTTTCTTTTTTGGGTAAGGCATGACATTGGGGCTCGCTGCACTACTCTAGACTTGTGAAAAATTTCAAGAGTCTTTCTAGAGCTCTCAGAGTCACGGCGAAAAGTCCTAAAATCTACGCATCACCGCACTAGCTCTAGACTCTAGAAAAGCTAGAGTAGCTCTAGACTCTAGAAAATCTAGAGTTGCTCCGTCACTTTCTGAGTTCGGCCATTTCACTACAGGACAGTGCCAGCCTGGGTTGTCCACGCAGACTCAAGGCCCACTCTAGGAAAACCAAGTCGTTTCAAGGATCCTCCGGACCTCCCTATAAAAAAAACCATTTGCAGGCTGGGACTCTAGATAAATCTAGAGTGAGAAGGACCGACCCGCTCTGACAGCTCAAGAAATGAAAATTCTAGAGCAAACTTATCTAGTAAGTTGAGCCATGACGACTCTATTACTTTTCTAGAGTCGTTTTGATAGCTCTAGAACAGGTTTTCGAGCGCCCCCATTTCTTAAGTGAGTGCAGCCATGCAGCACTCAAGAAAAAGCTCGAATCTAGAGTAGTGCAGCAAGCCCAATTGTCTATTGTTTTGTCTAGTGTTTTTCTTCTACTCCCCAAGGCTCCAAGCCTTTTCGGGCAACTTAAGAGTGTAGACTGTCCGGTGGATGCTCTGCGTGATTGGTGCTGGAGTCGTCTGGGTGTGGAAGGAAAGTGTTGCTTTGCTTTTGCGAAGGTTGATTGGTATTTTAAGCACGAGTCAGGTAGTCTGTTTAAATGAAGGTCTGCTTCATCTTATCTTGGATAGGCATCTTTGGTAGATCCTGTGTACGCGATTCGTACTTTTAAAGTTTTAAGATCTGTTAGGAGGAAGTACGCGTGAGTTTGGTTGCGTATGAAGAAGAGTAGCGCATGAATGGTACATGTATCTGTCGGCAATGTGTTCATTCACAATACAGAATTATTACGCATGGGTGGGATGTATTATACATAATTCTCAAGCGTATAGTTATTTCTCATGAGTCATGTGTAGTCATGTATGCTCAATAATGGCTGTTGGCTGTAATCGATGTTGATGTCTATCACCAGGGACAGGGAGCACTCTCCTCCGATCATCCCGTGCAGAGACCAGGAGGCTGAAGCCACTGAGCGTAACGTGGGCAAACGGAGGCTGAGTGCAGAGAGACACAGAGGAACAGAGCAGAAACAAAGCGGAGGCAAACGGAGGCAAAGAGAGGAGAGACAGAGCGGATGCTAACGGTGGGTGACGGAGGAGAAACGGAGAGACCGATACGAAGCTAAAGGAGGCTAACGAAGCTACTGCGTGCATCTAACGGAGGCTAACGGAGGGTAAACAAGCACGCACGTCAATTCTGCACCAAGCTGACAAGCTCCAACCGGCATTCATTTCACGGGATCCCCCACCGTTACTTCCATGATGATGTACCGGCGACATGCCCTTTGCGATCGGAAGGCTATCATTCTCATGGCAGGCATGATCATCGTGGCTGCTGCGTCGCAAGCGACTGCTCGCCCAGGGGCTAGTAAGACATACGATGGCCACATGGCAATCGCCAATCATGGCAAAGAGCTGCAGGAAGAGTGCCAGGGTGGCTGTCCCGTTGGTTGCTCGTGCATGATTCATATGTGCTGGCGATGGAACCAGCATTTCCGATGCCCCGTGCGTTGCTACTAGTAATCCTACGCCCTCTTTTGCAAGTCTTGCCCACCCTTCTGCTGTTAGACGGCATTGCCCATAATGTACCGATACTGATATCGTTGCCCATATGAATGCATTCCACGGAATCTTAACCACGACATGCCATGATGAATAGGTACTCATCCGAGACTCTCCTAGAACGTTTGCGCTGAGGACAATATACTATTATACATGTAAGATTCGGTACTAGGTCAAATGTAAGGGAAGGGGCTAGTACGTTGGACTCGGTTGGAGTCACACACCCAACGTTCAGAATAGGCAAATGGGGTTGAAGAGGGATACAGCCGGGGCCCGGGTGCTGGCGGATGTCCACCAGTCTGGACCCGAAGGAGGGCGACGTGACGTTTGCTTGGGAGGGCAAACGGTAGCTGAAAATGCCAGGACGCTGGTAGCTTTTCGATTCAGGCTCGGCATCTCCATAGCTGAGAAAGGTACTGGTGGTTTAAGAAGTTAGGAGCAAAAAAAGGGTACTCTTCCCAAAACAGGGCAGCAGTAGTCCCTACTCGGGAGCTGAGTAAGAGCAGGATTGATATCAGGAGCATAACCACTCCTAACAGGTGTTGAGCTTTAATGTCATATTTATTTTACAAAAAGCTTTGATGTTGTTGAAATTGTTTTGAGCGGACTGGTGTCTTCTCCCTTCGGTGCGATGGATGCCGAGAGTCAGCATGTCTTTTTTTTTCTTTTTTTTTTGGGACAAAGGCTCCAATCTATTCGTGGGGAGCAGCACGTGCTGGGAACCCGGCCCAGCGTCCCATCTTTAAGATTCAACATGTCCCATCTTTCTTCTTCTTCTTCCTCTTTCTTTTAGATTTTTTTGTTTTTTCTATTCCTTTTCCTTCTTTTTTTTTCTTCCAAGGCCAACGGCTCCTAGGTCACCCCCAGCGTTTCTAATAGGCAACTTTAGCAGTTCTCTAAAGGGGGCAACAAAAGCCACCCCTAAATCTGCATTTGCGCCACTTAAAGAAAAGGGCCCCAGTTTCAACCCCTTCCCCCCCCCCC